CTTATCCTTGGAGATTACATGAAACGAAAAAGTTGATCCATAGGAACAAGTTCCGCAGTATATAATGGGCATGCTTTAGTCAATGAAGCATTACATAATTCCATTTTCTGCTAGCGGGTGCTTAGGATTTTTGGACATACATGTTTATTGTCTGTATTTCTAGGGTATTTCTGAAGTCCTACACTAAAGCACCCATCTTGGTTTGAGGCTCTTACTATTTGGACCCAAACCATGGCGATCTTCTCCTTCTAAGGATTTACCAGCAGTTTGAATCATCCTGAATTTCAGTCTCATTAAAATCTGCCCATCGCTCAGTTACTCACCTTACCGCTACTTGATTTGTACAACGAAGACTCTCAGTCTTCACCAAGGTGTTCGCTTTACCCTGTTTTGTCCTGAACTCTCCTGGACAGTGGAACGCATAACACTGCTTTCATAAATAAGTCTAGAACAGGACTGTCCTGATTTCTTCTTCCCAAAGCCAATCACACAGCAAACAATATTGGTTTATTCCTGTTAATAATCCATTAGAATACGATCTTAATACTAATTGTTGAGCCCTTACATGATTCTAGAAATACAATTTTAGAATAATCTGACTCTAATCAAAGTCCATTTATCTTCAGCTTTTTAGGATTCTAGTCAATGTGGTTTTATTGTACTCTGATCTTAGTGTATCTTTTGAAAACAAAAATCTGGGCTGGATTTTTTCTGGGGTGTCTTGCAAATATTCAAAAATTCCGTGAATTTTTCTTCTGCTGTTTGCACCCCATAAAACCCCTGAATTGTTGGCTTCTTCTCTCTCTTCTTGGTGCTAAACCAATTCTTGTACAAGAAACTAAAACCCAGAGGAGAAGGTAGGGCCTGAGTAGGTAATTTTTTTTTATTTGCATGCCTGCATTACACATATGCTTAATCAGCCTTGTAGTTTGAATAAGTAGCAGAAGCAATATTATGTATTTGAGCTATTTTGAGACATTGAAAACATTGCGTGTCTTTCAAAATTGGCCATGTCTTTTTTTGATTCTCTTCCCGCTCTGAACATTAAACAGGTGCACCAGTAATAGTTGGCACACAGTGGAAAAGTTTTGCATTGAAGACTGATCATTTCTTGTAGTTCACTACCTCTTAGTCATCAGTGTTGATTCAGAGATATTAAGTATGGTAATAATTTGAAGCCAAATTATGCAAGATTTGGCCAGCACTAACCAGGGTTTGCTTCAGCTGTGGGAGGAACTTGCAAAAGGCAATATTGATTATGTCTGGGATATGCCAATTATAATTTGACATTCTGATTTCTGCTTTTTGTTTAACTTAGAAGCAGATTCTTCTTTGCTCTATTTGTGAAAGACAACTGGATGACTGAAGAAAACCATTTGCAACAAGACTAGCAATTTATATGAAATTAGAGGCACAGAAAAAACAGTATCTACTTTGTGCTCATTCTAACATTGAGACTATTGAGATACCATGATGACCAGGTGGCATCAGGGCCAAGCCTGATCTCCGGGTACATAAGAGGGCAGGAGAATCAAAGGTCAGATGTGCCTCCCCCCTTCTGTCCTTCTTTATCCTATTCGGACATCGGCCCTTCCTTCAAGGGCACTCTACTTTCTGCTGGGCTTGAACATTCATTGAGATGGTCACATGGAACTCACAAACAATACTCACAATTATGGGGTTTATCAGGATGGCTAACAGGTTAACAAGGTACGGTTCTTTGGTCTGCAATGTCTCTTATCAGCCATGCTGGCAAGCGTGTCTCCTTGGTTCTCAGTCTCTCAGTCTGTGGTCCTTTGGCTTCTGCCTCACTGTGGACCAAGATGTTAGCCCACTGCTCTTTGCCTCATGATCTGGACTATACTCCTTTGCTCTATCTTATTGTCTCAGTTCTTCTCCTCTGCTTTGTCTCATGTTATCAGTGCTGAAACCTCCAGTGTCTCTCTCACTCTATCCCTAAATCTTAAATTCCCTCTGCTGGTGGCTTTTCTTACTTGAAGGTCAGCCTGAATTTACATATGTGTTCCACAGGTGACTCCTTGGCCTGGTCTTAGCTGCTGAGATTGAGCTTCACACAGATATAGTCGATTTGATTTCTGTGTATTCCATCTGGAGAAGTTCACAGGTATTGGAAGAAGGAATTTTCAATGAAGACATCATTGGTCTTACAAAATTCTATCGTGCAATCTCCAGTTTCACTTCTATTATAAAGACCATATTTTCCAACTACTGTTCTTTCCTTTTTGTTCCCAAGTTTTGCATTCCAATTGCTAATAATTATCAGTGCATTTTGATTGCATGTTTGATCAATTTCAGACAAAAGATACCTTCTTTAGAATTCAATTTCTTCATCAATTTCTTTAGTGGTTGATTCATATGTTTGAATAATACTTGTATTGATTATATTTCCTTGATTGTGCATAGTCATTAACTTATCACAGATGGTATTATACTTCAGAATAGATCTTGAAATGTCCTTCCAGAAAATGCATGTAGCACCATTATTCTTGAATCTGTCATTCCTGACATAGTAAATTATATGTTTTTTTAATTCAAAATGGCCAATGCCAGTTTATTTCCGCTCACTAGCATCTAGAATATTTATCTTTATGTATTGCATTTCATTTTTTTATAACTTCCAATTTTCCTAGCTTCATACTTGCTACATTACAAGTTCTGATTATTGATTGATGCGTATTTCCATTTCTTCTCATTTTGAGTCATGCCCTATCAGCAAATAAAAGTCCTAAAGGCTTTACTCCTGAAACTGTTACTCCGTCCATGTCGTGATGGTCAAATCTACTTTGAGAAGGCAATTCTTCCATCACATTTTGAGTGTCTTCGACCCCAAGGGCTCATCTTTTGGCACTCTCTCTGACAATGTTCTGCTTTCCGGTCAGGAGGTTTTCCATAGCTGCCAGTGTTTCTATGCTATCCATAAGGTAGTTAATTCACTAGAAGTGGACAGTCTATTCTTTCTTAACAGTCTGACTTTAGTCTAGAAGCACTGCTGGAACCTGTTCCCTTTGGGTGACCTTGCTGGTGTTGAAAACACCAGTGACATAGCTTCCACTGTCACAGCAACACACAAGGCCCACAGTAAGACCAAACTCACTGACACGGAGTTAATTACAACTCTTAGAGACCCTAGCTGAGCCTCCATGACTTTAACTCTTTATAGAGTAGAAAGCCTCTTCTTTCTTCCACAGAAGCGCTGGTGGTTTCAAACTGCTAACCTCACTGTTCGCAGCCCAACTCATTACCCACAACACCACCAAAGTCCTCTTTTTCTAAGTACGTAGCACATAGTATAACCTAGGGGAAATCTGTGCTGGAGCAGAGGATTTGCATAGTTTTGCTTCCATTTTCAGGAGGTGGATTGGGGGAAAAGCAGTTGGTGAGAGATTCTGATAAACTGATACATTCTTTAGTTTTGAATTTGTTCTACAATCAAATTGAAGACAGAAGGCTCTGGAGTGAGAGTATGAAATCCAAAGTATTGTTTGAGGAAAATTAGTCAAATTGTTAAAGTTATTGGCTGATTAGCGAGGAAAGAGCCTGGACAGAAACAACAGATATTATTTATAGGGTTTGCAGTAGTTGAACCATGAGGATCTTGAACTTGAAAGTTACAATGGAAAGAAAGGAATGAATTATAATGAGTGACAAATTTAAAGGCTTCTGACAACATTCGCTTGTTCAACGTTTGTTGTTAACAGCTATTGTCAAATGGATTTGAACTCCTAGTGACCAAGCATGTGCGTAGTACAGCAAGGGTTTCCAAGGTCTGGCCTTTTGGAAGTAAATTGAGAGACCAATCTTCTGAAGGAATCCTAGGGATTTAAGCCACCAACCTTTTAGCTGGTCAGCAAGTGTTTAAGTATTTGTACCTCTGATTGCCAACCAGCCCACTGCCATCAAATCCATTCTGACTCATAGTGATTTAATATAGTTTTTCCGAGGCTTTAAATCTTTCAGAAGCAGGTTCCCTCATTTTTATTTTGCAGAGTGGCAGCATTCGAACCCACATCTTTGAGATTAGCAGTCCAACCCTTAACCAACAGGGCCAGCAGTGCTCTTCCTAGGGACCTTCGACAGAGCAGATGTTCCAAATCAGCACTATCCAGCAAATGTTCTGCGATGCTGACAACGGTCTCTGTTCTGCTCAGTAAGGTTGCCGTGACCGAGGGGCTGAGCACTTGAAAAGTGGCATTTTCAGTTTTGTTTAATGTTAGTTGTTTTAAATGTAAGTGTAATAAGCACATGTGGGTAATACCGACTCTTTTGGACAATGCAGCATCTTTTCCAGAACAAATCGTGTTGCCCACCCTGACTTGCTAACTGAGTAGTTTGAGCCTGGCATCGGGAGTGCTGCTGATGAGTCAGTGATTTGATTTTTCTCTGTTTTGCAAGTAATGCAACTCATTGAATATTTTATTACATTTTCTCAGTTTCAAGAAAATAGGAAAATGAAAATTCGGTCATGTCTTTTAAAATTGAACTTATTAATGATTATTATTAATCTCTTTGAAACAATTCTTATGTATGCAATGACAGAAGATAATGTTGTAGTATTTTAGTATTTCACTTCCATTTGTAATTGAGAATGTGTTGTATATAAAAGTAAGCATCTTGTCTATATTTTGCTTCCTGTACCACTGACACTCATTGCAATCTTTATTAAAGAAGAAAGTGTGACACCTTAATAAAGTCAGTCATTATTTCCCAATTTTCATTTTCTACAATAAGTAAACATGAATCCAAAAAAATCCTTAATATTTTAAATGAAACACACAAAAAAACTCTTAAAATATCAAATGCAATATAGCCTGTCTTTTAATATTATAACCTTGCTTCTTTTGACAAGACTCATTTTCATAATATTAACACTAGATTTAATCATCTATAGTAAAATTTTTTTTTTAATGATGTCACTTCTATTAACTTTTGAAGGTTTACAGCAGTTAAAGTACTTTTGCTTCTATGTATGAAGATAAAAAAATCATTTGTTTTTTTCCATAAAATACAAGAGCAACCAATTTTCACCATCAAGTAAAAGTAAAAACTGGGATTCTTTTTTAAATTAGTCCATAGTGACCTTCGGGAACTTCTTGTAGGCTGCTGCGCTGACACCATGACAAACCAGTGTGGGGTCGGGCCTGGTTGTGTTTCGGTTTTCATTTCCATATCCAGTGCTCATGGAGTTAAGCTCTGAGAAGGGTCCAATCAAAAGGTAGGGATCTGTTTGGATTCCACCACGGGTATGCTCCTTGGGTTGGATGCTGGAGGGTGAGGCACGGTTTGCCAGACCCATGTCGACTACCTAGTAGTCATCAAGGTCAAAAAATTCATCATCTCCTCCTTGATATTCCATTCCCTGGAAATCTACTCGGTACCGTAAGATACCTCCAATTCCACCAAATCCTTTCACAAATTGGGATCCTTCTTGTGACTTATCTGTGACAATTTCCAATGTAGCTCCAAATTTTTTGTAGTTGTTGGCAAACCATTCCAGTAGGGGCATGCTTTCAATCAGCTCATGTTCCTGTCCTGTCTCTTTATCTGTGAAATGAGATTTATCCTTCTCTTGTTCTGGAGTTAGATAGAGAATTTTCTCCTCTTCGGTGCCTTGGCAATGAAGAACATATCTCATTATATCCAGATTTTCATAGACTATTAGAATCTCTACAGCTCCCATTTCCAAAGCCTTTAGTGTATCTTCAACTCCAAAACAGTACTTGCCCGTGTCCTGGCTGATTTCATCAAAGTATCGTCCTATTAATTTCTTCTCTTGAATGAACTTCACGTTGGAGAGGACTTCAGTAGATAATTCAATAGCTTGGTTGAATCCATTTTCACCACCATAGGAGATATCAACTAATTTTAAAACTTTTGATTGCAACCTCTGATCAAACATATCCGATTGGCTTAGTTCAGTTTTAAAGTCAGCTGATCCAGCTAAAACGAGACCAGCCACATTCACTTTGTCCCCAGAAATAAACAGTTGCACAGCAGTCTCGGCTACTTTCCGAACGTAATTATGTCGTTTTTCCATTCTTAAACGGGCAAAACGCAAAGCAGACTGACCTCCTCTACCGTGTTTCTTTGGAAGATCCACAGTGAATTTGTGAAGGACTTCTCTTGTGTTTCCTTGGAGTGTGCCAAAAAGCGCACCACTACCATCTATTACAATGAAACCAAACTTGCTATCATCCGAAAGTAGTGCTGTAAGAGCCTCTGTATGGAATTTGTTGTCACACAAATACAATGACGTATTAATTGGTTTGAAAGGCTCAAAGTCAATGTTGACTTTCTTTTCCTTTCCTTCTTCTGTTACAATTGTTCCACAGTAAACAACCAGACCATTTGGAGGTACTTTGTTATAAAGTTTGAGTCTTTGTTGTACAGATGTAATGGCTCCCAGGACTGAAAGGCAGTTTACTCGTGATTTAATATTAGATGCGGTTCCAAACTCATCAGCTAACATTTTTGCCACTCCTGATATCTGGTCTTTGGGAGGAATGATCAACGATATCATGCTGGTGCCATTGCCGCGGGCCGCCTCCAAGCTCTTGATGAGCTTCTTGATCTTCCAGATCTCCACATTCCTGTCGGCAGCACTGGGGTCGTCCACCATCTTCTCGCCTCCTCCTCCCTAGGGGCCCAGTCCTGGGCGGCAGCGGCTGCTCCTCCCCGGCGGCTCCCAGTAAAATTGTTTTTAATGATTTGATGACTGTTTTTAAAAACAATGAGTTACTAGAATGTTAGTAAGTGACATTTAATGTTTATTGATAGAGTTAAAATCTTAATTTCTTAAAAAGATATATGTCATTACTCTTAAAGTATAAGAGCTTTAAAAAGCTCATGGAAAAATTTCATTATGCTTTAATTCTATTTTTTCCACAAACTCCTTGAAGCCCCCTCACGTGAAACTAGAGTAATATATATCAGAAATACTAATTGATCATAACCATCCTTGTTGTCTGATAACAAAAAAAGGTTCTTTGCTCCAAATTCACATAACAAAATACAAGAATGAATTAGTCTCTGATCTGAGTTACAAGTTGTAGACAAATAATCATGAAGCTGATTGTAAACACTTTGTAAACAATCATCAACAGGACCTCACTGGTATTCATACTTCTGGAAGTCCAGTAATACCTACAGACAAACAAAGCATAGCAACAAAATGCCAAACTCATTGCCATGAATAATCATGTGCTTGTTCTCCAGGGCCACGGGTTAAATTTTCAAGAAGTTTTTGAGCTAGTAGACATCACATTGGTAGCCTGGACTTGGCCTTGGTAGGAGTACTTATTGACACCGTGAACATTGGCCAATAGTAGGAAGTAAATTTTTCTCCATTAGAACTGATTTTCTTTTTTTTTAAAGCATTTGTTTTACCTGTTTGTCTCTTGTGTTTAATTTTTCTTGTCTTTAATTTTGTTCTTTGTTGGAAAGTAGATTTTGATATCAGTTTTTATGAACCACATGGATCCCATAATAAGATACAATATTCTTACTTTTTGGAGTGGAATAAACATGGACAAAGTTGTTATTTATCTGAATACACTGAAGTAGAAGTGTTTAAAGAGTCTGCAATCAGCTTTAAAAAGAGACCTGCCTTCACTTCCAGACAATTCACTCTCTTGCTCTAGAGATTATAGGTTTGGCCTATTGTTCTCTTTCAGAAAAAAACAAAAAACAAAAAGCCAAGATAATAAACTCAGTGGCATGGTTTTGTACAATAGTCCATAAGCCAGGATAACATGTAGCTACACGCCTTTGCACCGGGAGGCCTGCTTTAATGACTTAAGCTTCAGCAGTTCAAAGCCACCCACCTCTCTGAGGGAGAAGATGGAATAGAGTTCAGGACAGTGAGTTTAAGGGTTTTGGATTTGCCTTTGCAGCCCCTTTGGGTGTCGCATCATCACAGCGACTCTACAGAGCAGGGCAGAGCAGAGCTGTGTCTGTGAGTTTTCTCCCAGAGCGCTGCTGGATCCCAGCCGCTCACCTTGCTCTAGCAGGCCAGCACAAGCCACCGAGTTGAGCGTTTTTGGATGTTTCAGTGCCCCCGCCCAGGGCCCATTACCGCCACCTCTGGGAAGCTGCCCTAGCTACGGCATCATGCGTGGCTCTGTCTGAACACTGGTTCCTGGGGCATGAGTTGCAGCCCATCGCCTGATATGGTTAAACAACCTCCTTGGCCGTGGGCACCAGGAGGATTCTTCCGTGGACGTCTGAACTTTGCATTAGAGACTGAACAGCCTCCACAACCACGTGAGCCAGTTCCTTAATGGTTTTTGAGAGTCCTGTGAGACTTTGCAGCAAATATACTAACAGGAGTGATGGTTGATATCAATGAAAATGGAAGGTAGCACATTTTAGGCATTTGGGGCATCTTTAATCTCCATCTCATTGGGGCCAGTCTTGGATATTAATTTTGAAGAAATTGTTTTTGCACAACTGTATTGTGATTAACTTTTCACCCTGCATATTCCAGAATCATGATGACTGTTAGTGAAGTGTGAATTTATGGGTCTGGGAGCAAAGGATTTCATTACCTTAATGAATTGCAAACAGGTAATACATTTGTAGCAGAGATGACCTTCTTTTTTATAGCTGTACCTCCCAGGTCATTATCAACATAAAAATAATAAACAAGCATGTAACTGTCGTATCACCGCAATAAAAATAATAAACAAGCATGTAACTGTCGTATCACCGCAATCTGTGTGATCTTTGATTATTTTGGATTCAGTTGAGTTCGAGCAGAAATGAATGCAGTACTCATATCAGTACTGGGTAGCATTGTAGTTCAGATGGAGGCTGAGGAAAAGGGTTGATAATATCTTAGAATATTCAAACATACCGAAAGATGTTTAGTTGTTGATCCATGTCATACAGAGTCAAATGATAAGGGCTTTCTGTTGTTTAGTTATACTTGGCTTATATTGTTAAAGTTCTTTTATTTCCTTTTTGGTGTAAGCTGTGTTCTGCAGAGCTATTTGGAGCCACCAACTCATTTGTCTGTTTATATTTTTCAAAGTAACATATCTGTTCCCAAAGTGTCTACATATTACAATCATCTGTGAAACTAAAAACAAAGCAAAACAATCGATGCCTACCCCTTTTCCCAGAACACTTGACTTTGAAAGCAGTCGATGAGGACGACTTTTCTGCAATGTAAATTGCCCTGGGAGCACAAGGAGCTGCTAACTCTCAAGGTCCATGACTCAGACCCGCCAGCCACTGCTCAGGACAAAGATGAGGCTTTCTGCTCCAGCACTGGCAGCCCGAGAAAGGCCCGGGAGCGGTTCTGCCCTGTCCTACAGGGTTGCTTTGAATCAGAACCCACCGGGATGCGGTGAGCATTGAGCTTCTCTACAATGTAAACTTTTGAGGCGACCAGGATGGCTTCGATTTAGATTGGTTCACCATTTAAGAATTGATTTCTCAAGTGACTGTGTTTCCAGTTGTCACATCCTGCTATGGCTCTCCTAACTTGCTCCTTTGGTGTCTGTGAGATATTTGGGGGGCGGATAACACCTCCTGGAAGAGCTGCTGCTTTGTCTGGGACATCAGTGATACAAGCTGTAACTTGGAGAAGCAGTGAAATGTGTCTTATTTGCCTAGATATAAACATATATACACCTATTGAGGCATCAGCACATCTGGGGGGAAATGTGCTGTTTAATATTTAGGTTATTATTATTCACTTTGACTACAAAGCCATCAAACTTGCCATATGCATCTTTAAAAGACAGAAATGAATCCTGGAGGGTAATAATGAATCTGATTTTGAAAAGAAAGTCAACTAGGCACAGAACCTTATAGGGTTTTTCTTATTGCCGTTTTATAGCAGGAAAGGACCTCTGAGGATCTTACACTTGACTCTTGTCTATTGACCTCATAAGAGACACAGCACCTGTTAAGTCTGGTTGCTTTATTTTTACACAGCAAGTTTGTTGACAAAAAAAAGTCCTCACGACATGAGGTAAAATGAATGCCATGCTCTGGTGGCTGGTATATACCAAACTAGAGGCAAAATTCACATGAGAAAACTGCTCAACAAAAATATTTCATCTAAGATATTTTCCAGCCGAGTTGCCCTTCAAATTCTGTTCCCACCACATTCTCTGAATTGCATGGTGGAAACGCTGAGACATTTAACTTGTGCTCTACATAGCACTGGAAACTTGGGCACAGAAAATCAAGTCCTTAAAAAATTATTGCTGTCTTTCTGCAAGGGTTTAATTCTTTTTTATATTGTTTATATAAGGCTAGGGCAAATTGAAGAACATTTTACTATCTTTAAGATCTGTTAGCTACCCCAGTTATAGGAGTATATTCCCATGCTATACAACATTGTATCTTGTTATTCTTGTTAAGTTATATAGAAAAATAACTCTTGTAGTCTTAATTCGGAGTTTATCTATGCTGCAAGTATAACATTATAGGGAGCCTAATGTTGTATCTAAGAAAATATTTAGTAATAGCATATGTGCCAAGAAAAACAGAAAAAAGTATACTTTATTGAGAACACATTGTTTAAACTTTGACTACCATAATAATATTACTTATTTCATGCCAACTGTGTTTAGATCTTTACAATAAGCATAAAGATAATGTTTCTTCCCTAAATGCTTGCCATTGAAATTGCATATGATTTGGTGGGACAATCCAGGCATGAAATGAACATGTTACTAGACTCCTCTGTGTTTATATTAGTTCTTCCTCCCTAATTTAGAACACGAACCATATGACAAGAACCATGCCCAATCCTATCAGAAATTACAGAATAGTAAATAAAATAGGTCCTAGCCAATTTAGAAAATATTCCATTTGGGAACACAAAGCAGGGTTACAAGAGAGATTGTATAAGATTCAAGAAATCTCGAGGCATTTTGAAAAATGGCTGATCGAGAAAATCATGGTTCATTAATGAAACCTTTATTAACTAGCAATTATACATACAATTATACCGCATGGTTTAAAATCAGGAAAGGTGTGTGTCAGGGTGGCTTCTACTCACCATTCTTGTTCAGTCTGTAAGCTGAGCAAATCATCAGAGAAGCGGGCTTATGTGAAGAAGAGTGTGGCATCAGGATTGGAGGAAGGCTCATTAACAGCCGGTGATACACAAAGACATAACCCTTCGTGCTGAAGGTGAGGAGGACTTGAAGTATTTGCTGATAAAGGAACGACGCCTTCAGTGTGGATTCCGACTCAGTGTGAGAAAGAAAAAAATCCTTACAACTGATCCAATAGGTAACATCATGATAAATAGAGAAAACGTTGAGGTTGTCTAGGATTTTGTCTTGCTTAGGTCCATAATCAATGCTCATGGAAGCAACAGAAAAGAGATAAATAGACATTGAATTCAGTCATACCTCTTCAGAGTATTGAAAAGCCAGGGTGTTACTTTGAGGAGTAATGTGCAGCTGACCCACGGCAGGCTATTTTCCATTGCCTCACACACACGAGAAAGTGGGGCACAATAAAATAGACCAAGGAGAATGTGTGCATTTGAATTGTGGTGCTGGAGAAGACTACTGACATTACCATAGTGTGCCAAAAGGACAAACAAGTCTGGTTTGGAAGAAGTACGTCCAGAGTGCTCCTTTAAGGCATGGGTGGCAATAGTTCATC